TTTGGTGCATAGGAAGTACTCCAGGAAAGAAACCAGTTAATCCTGCAGATCTGTCAGATGAAGAAATACTTGTTTTCTGGCTTTAGCCTGGCAAAGATAAATGCACAAAGTTAAACTGTTTGGCCGTAGGGAGGTCACCTATTTTAAGGATCACTGCGGGCCTAGGCAGCTGAACTGAGGTGGGAGTGGGCACGACAAATGATAAAGAGAGGAAGAAAAAGCAGTGTATGACAGGGGCAGCATATCGCTTTTAAGGTGGTTACCCAGCCCTGTCATTTAGCAGAGCCAGCTGGGAAAAAAGCAAGTGGCTTTAAACACTGCAAATGACTACTTGAAAAGCAAGTGCAGGTGGGTGGTGAGCTCCGCTTGCAGGCCCTGAAGCACAGGGGCTGAACAGACATCTGGGGTTGTCAGGCTGCAGAAGAACTGCTTTACTTTGATGCTTTGCCTAAGCTTTATTTTGAAGAATAAAAATGGCAGGTAGTCTCTCTCTGGCCTAGGAGAAAGACCCCTTTACTTCTCACTTGATTTTTCACTCAACTATTTTTGGATACTTTTTTTTTTTTTTGAAGAAGTCAGAACTCTGTTTTTTGTGCTGTGGCACAAACCTTTAACAGTGACCGCAGCACCCCTGAGGTAAATCACATCCATGTGTAAAGAGCAGTGAGATGAGTTGCTCATCTAACAGGAGCTCTGAGGTCTCTGTTAAGTCTAGATTTTGAGTTTGAAGATGTTACAATATACACTGCAGGGTGGTACTTGTTGAAAGAGAAGGTAAAGATCTTACCACAGTGCTGGTAAGGCTAGTGATGGGCAGTATGAAGGTAATGTGGAGTGCAGGGGACTTTCCCCTTTGATTATTCCTATAGATTTTTACTTGTTTTAGACAGAAGTGGATGTGCTGTTGCACTTAGTTGTCAGAAAACAATGGTTTTGCATGTTTGTATTTATAATCATAAGCAAACATGAATATATATGTATTATCTCCTTAAAACCTGAAAATTATTCATCAGCCCATAATCACATGGCTGACTTGCACATCTGGAAAAATCATAGCCTAGGCCACAGGCAGATGATCCATTGCAGCTCATTCCAAGTACAACTGTATCATTGATGTTCCCAGTTGCATCTCGTACAACGCAGGAGGCTGTGGAAACAATGATATATTATTATTTTCCTTCCTTGTGACATCAGGTGAATGTTCTTGACACATTTTGACTTTTAGTCTGCACACATTTGGTACAACTGCTGCCATAGTCTCATCCCAAAGACCAACATTTTGTGTTGGGTAGAGATTACTTCCTCTAGTGTGGCTTAATTTCTCAAGTTATCTGTAAGCAAATATTTACATTCTGTTACTTTCAAAAAAACCAGCCAGTTGACTAATGAGAACTAGCAGATATCTGAGACTAGAGAACCAGACAGAGATCAATAATAAATTAACTGACTCAGAAGTATACTGTCTGTGACCACTTTTACAAGTGCCAGTATTCAGAGGAAACAGGTCAGTGATGGCCTTAGGTATAGACATACACTTCTTTGTTTAACAAGGACACACAGTTGCTTTAGAGACCCAGATCCTCAGCTGTTCAAGTTGTCGTAGCCCTACTGATATCAGAATGGTTAAAAAAACTTTAAACAGGAGGAATTACCTATATTCTTTTGGGTTTTATTAATGTTTGTCTTTTTCCCCAAAAGAATCATACGGAGTTAACTTAGAGCATTAATCTTAACATCTTTAGTGGCCAAAACATAAATTTATGTGGTATCTTCAAGTGTGACAAAAATGTTGCTATTGAGTCCCAAAGTAATCATTACCTGTTCAGCAAACCAATATGCAAACAGAAACAAAAAACATCAAACTATTGCACTGAAAAAATGGACAGTTCTGAAGCTGAAATACAGCTATTGCCTGTGAGAACAGGACAATGCATTAACACACATTTGTAACAGAAAATGAAGAATGAGTACTTTAACTTTAATTGTAGGCAAAATTTAGATCCAAATAATGCAATAACCTGAGCTGCAGCTTGACTCAAGTACAAGAACCACAAAAGTCAGGAAGACTTGAGATTCATCTCCCAGAAAAGGGAGGCCTCACAGGCCTTTCATGCAGCATTGAGGTATTTGCTCATAAGGAAGAGTGTCATTTACAACACTGTTTCTTACTGAACTACTAAAATAGGAAAAAAAACTTTTTCTTGAACAGAGATTTATTGTACCCCTGTAATGAGAATTTAATTGCATGTTCCTCCAACACAGTTCATGGCTTCAGTACAGGTCTCCATTTTACTTTTGTATCCGTTCTGTTACATCACATTCTAACATTGTAAAGTACTTAATAATATAGTGCCTCTTCTTTAAGACAGGCAGTTGATTTCTGTCTGACATATAACGTACAAACTATGTGTTGCCCTGTTACTCCTGAGTGCTCATTCAGACAAGTGAGAGCAAAGTAGAAGCCATGTGAATTTTCAGTGTGAATGCGAAGCAAAAGATCAGCAGATTGATCAGAGGTTCCTTTAATCTTTACTATGTTCATGGATACTATATATTAGTGGCCTTTGTCACTGAATCTTTTGCACTGAATGCAAAAGTAACAGTACAAGTTATACGAAAGTCCAGCTGCCAAACAGGAACTTCTGTTTCTGCTGCTTGCCCCCTAGTGTTTTTACATACAGTAAAATCAAAACTACTATCACTCTAAATAATAAATCCACAAGATGAAAAAGCAGAGAGGTTATTCATTAATTTGCTTACCAGGCTTTCAAACTTTAAGTGTATAAATTAAGACATGAAGCAGAGATTCTGTACTTACCCACACATATTGCAACGCCAATGTAAGCAACTGTTGTAATAACAATGGCCAGCATTGTTCCTTTGGGTATCGCAATTTGAGGATCCTGAAAACAAAGTAGTGATCCAGAAAACATTGTGAGTCTGTATGCTGCAGTCTGATTGCATTTGCATGCGAGGGAGTCCTGCTGCGCTATGAGTTGAAGATACCTTTATATGATTTTTAAATTAATAGGGATTTATTGAGCTGAAAAATAGTTGCAAAGTCACTTACTTCAGCTGCATGAGACCTTTTACTCTCAGATCATGGTAACATTAATTTACACAGTTCTGATGTGCATGTGGAGTCTAATGTGGAGTCTCATGCTGCAGTCTTAAACACTGCAACATTAAATCTTAACTTCTTGCAGCTTAACAACTTTTAAATTTTATCAATAATTAAACACTAATTTAATATGCTGTTAGCACTTTAGGGCCTGCTCCAAAACCCGCTGAAGTCACTAGGAAGACTAGCTGTGTCTGTAAGCAGGCTTTGGACCAGGCCACTGCCTGAATGTGTAGTGGCTACAGAAGCATGTACATAGCTGTTCACAACGAATTCTAGAGAAAGTTTGATTGGTAAATGTTACACTTTCTAAATACTTCTTAGCTTGTCTTTTAGATTTCTGGAGAGGCTGGTTAATTTAATTAGATCTGTCTCCTGCATCTAAACATGCTCAGTGGGGAATCTGCAGCCTGGAGGACTTGGTAATAGAAATCCACTTACTGCCAGGCTGAAACAAATGCAGACAGCCAACAGGAGAACTGCTTCCCTTGGTCTGCTCAGCCTCTTTCAAATAGCTTATGAAGGAAGTGCTGCTGGTTTGGGAGCTTGCTATGTGTAGAGAGCACTGTATATAGCAAAAGAATTATTTTTGTTTGATAAAAGGGTGGCAATTGTGTGAGGCTGATTCAGTCTCACTGGGCAGAAGTACAATGTTTTGGGGTTTTTTAATAAAAAATTGAATCTCATAGCTGCTCTCTCTGCTCTGTTTCAAAAGCAGTCCTCTGAAAACAAAGGAGATAAGACATGCAACTCAGTGTGAGGAAGAGAAACGGAACTGGCTGTCAGGGTTGGTAGGATCTAGTGAACTTGATTACTGTGCCACTACGGAAATAACAGACCTTTGGTTGAATCCCCAAGTTCTACAAGACAATGCGTCTGTATGATAAAACCAGATAACTTCATTTGACATGCTGGGATTATCTAGGTGTAAGCTACAACTTTTTGGTGACTTTATTTTAGTTTGTGTGTGTTTTTGCATGTTTGGCTTTTGTTGTTGTTTTTTTTTAGTATTAGATTGCAAGACTTGAGTTATGGATACCCTGGTGCCTTTCTGAATTTCTTGTAATAGTACGAAGTATTGCCTCACATTTATTGGAGATATTTTACCCAATGTCTTACTGAACTTTGACTTACTTCAGCTTTGCGTTTAGCTTTAAACACTCTTTGCATTAAATACACTGTGGAAAGTCATGAAAACTAGAGGGCACTCAAAGGTAAAACTAAATTGCTGTCTCTAATTTAGCAGTATGTTTAGATATTGGGAATATCATCTTACCACTGCTTTAAAGCAAGAGGAGAGTGGGCACCTGGCAGAATGGCCACAGCAAGAGAACTGGGCACCTTTGGACCTCTTTTCCCTTCCTCTTTGACTCCTTTCTTTTGTCACATCTGCAAACCAGCAGCGTTTCCTTTGAGCAGCAGTAGTGACATGGGATTGGGACATACTTGCTTTCATTACATGCTCTGTTTGTTCTGCCCTTGCTATGACCCTGAATAGAAAAAGCCAGTCTCTGCTGATTCTTGTGAGTACAAATGTGGGCTTTACAGGTATGCTTTTTTGGATGATGCTATAGGATATTTTGCAAGAGTGCCAAGAGATACACATGTAATTTCTCTTATTTAGTGTGCTGCTAATGGACCATTAATAATATATTATTACAGGTTATTGAAACATGTTTTTAAATGATACAGAAACCCAAATCTAAATGCAGTAATTTCTGTAAATAGCCATAAGGCATTAGGAGAGAAAATGTGAACTGATTTTTTTAAATAATAAACCAGGCACATTTAAAGGGAGAGTTTTGCTTCCCAGAATAAGACATGATTTAAAACTGAATACAGTGTTGATTCATAATTTGTTTTCTTGTTCTTTATTCAGCCTACAGCTAGTATTATGAAGATAATGAAATACATACTTTCAGATCTCCTGAGATATTTGCTCCTGCAAGAATGCCAGTGGCAGCTGGGAAAAAGATGGCAAACACCGAGAAAAACCCTTCTCCGCTTCTGAAACCTGGTCCAAAGTTTTCTGCAAATATCGATGCTGCAAATATAGGTGAAAATGAAACATATCACCATGATTTGGTTTTAAAGCTCCTCAACTTTAGGTGAATAAGCTAGTCTTTCATGTCTGGACGACTGGGTTTGAAACTGTCTCTTATAATAAGCCAAGTGAATTTGATTTCCTTAGTCTGGTCCCCAGTAGGATGTGCTTGTCTGCATCTCAGAGCTACGGATCTGTACTAAAGTGACAGGAGTGTCACTGCATCACTTGCACTTAGCTCTGTGGAAAGGTTTGTCTGTGCTCTGCTGATATATAAATGACTCAAGCTGCAGGTAACTGTGCTGTCAGCTTCAGCAGCAGAGAGACAGACTCAAAATAAAAGATGAAATAAAGTCCCTTGGTTTGCAAGCTTACTTAAACTCGGGTAGAAGGTGCTGATCTTGTGACCTTTTTCAATGGAATCCTTAACTTGGTATGAAGCCAAAAGGAATGCAGACTTACTATTTTATGATAGGCAGTGAGGTTACTTGCCTTGGTAATTGAAAAAGCCTCTTGCCTTCTTTTCATTGTTGGTAGGAATGATTGTGCCAATAAAGAAGTTTGCAATGGCAATAAGGAGAACAATTAGAAGAATAACTTGAGCCTATTAATAGAAACAAAAACATGTCCCTTATTATTTTAATTTGCATTGACTATGGAGATGGCTTTATAGAAAGTTATCCGCATGTGTTCCCCATGACAGATTGCTAATTTCTGTAGTTTTTTTAAACACCAGGCATCAAGATAGCTGAATCAGCTAATGAAAACAGCAGATTTTACTAGGGGGCTATATAACTATATGAAATAAATAGTTATAATTTAATTTTATGTTAGTTTCCTTAGAAGAAAAGGCAAAATAAAATAGCTAATGCATTGCTATCAAGTGTAAGACATTTTTATATTGTTATAAAATTTGTTTGGTTGCAGTGGGTTGTCACTTCAAGGATTATAATATCTAATTATTTTTCTGATCTCTTTTACAAGTAGTTCTAGTCTTCATCACATCAGAATGTAAAAATAAGGGTGCTCTTCTGCACCTGATTTCGATAGCTGTTATTTCACCCTCTAAAGTATTTTCATTTTGAACTTTTCTTTTTACAGGTGAAGAAATAACATAAATCATTAGTGGTTAAGGAATGAATACCAAATAGTGCTCTTCTGCTGAGTAGAGTGAGTACAATTGAGTGAGTACAGTGATAAAACTATATATTGTTTTTACTACTGTTTATTCTGTCGCTCTGCATCAAAAATACGGGCAAAAGGGGCACTTACTCAAGACACTAAATGATGTCATGAATTATAAAAATCAATATAATCAAGCTGTCAGCAGAGCACAGACTTTCTCTTCCCTTCTGAATGTATGTACAGGGAAGAGCATGGAGTAACTGTGCTTTCACTGAAAGCAATAATTAAACTCCTATTGCTTCTAGAAAGATTAAGCATAAACTGAAACAGTGCTTTTGAAAATTCCACCTGTTGTCTACCATTCCTCACATACAAATTCTTTACAGTAGTCTAATATACTGCTTGCTTTTATGTACTTTTAAAGGTTTACCTTTGCTTCCCATTCCATGCCAGCAACAGAGATGCCGAGAAGACAGACAACAGTTATGGTACCTATAATTCGGATGTCATTGGACTCATCTACCATCAGTGTATCACTCTCCTGAAAGCAGTAATAAATGTTATTAGAACCAGTCTTTCTCTGCCCTACTGGTGGGATCAGGTAATAAGGTGAAATAGAAAGCAGTGAGCTGGCAAAGTTTCTGAGATCTGTGAAACCAAATGTTTGGATTTTGTGTTCTGGCTGGCTCTTTGCAGCTGAGGTTATTTGGCTGCCTAATTAGGTGTTTGTTCCTTTTCTGATTTTGAGGTTCTTGTTGAGAAATGTGTGAAATATATTCGTAAGGTGGAAATAATGGAGAAGCACCCTATAGCATGTTTAGACAGACTAGCTGCTTCTTTGCTAAAGATGTTCCTCAAGTCTCAGCAAAAAAGTACCACTTAAATCTATTATATAAACCAAACAAACAAGCAAAACCCAAACAAAAACCTAGAAATAAAGGCCCCCTCAAAAAAAACCAACCCCAACCCCTCCAAAACCCCCAAAATCTCAAGCAATAAAAAAACCCTCCACAAAACAACCCTGCCAATTTAGTCATATGCATGAAAGATTTACACTTACCTTAAGAAGTTCTACAACTGTTTCAGCAAATCCAACTACATACATAGCAACTGCCACTGCATTCGCAAATGCAAAGATAAGTCCTATAGATCCACCAAACTCTGGGCCTAGACTTCTGGAGATCAAATAGTATGCTCCACCTGCAGACAGAAATGATTGTTATTTCAGCACATCTGAATGTTCAGGTTCTACTCATTTTTCACACATGAATAATACCTCTGGAATCTCTGCTTTTAGCCTAACAAACATAACCATTATTTGCCCTATAGTAATAGAGAACACTGATTAAAAAAAGGAATTTGCTTTGTACTGGGTCTGCCTCCAGACCTTTCTGTATGCCTTTCTATTGCAAAAATCTTTTATTAGCATGCAAAACCAGACCTTCAAATAATTTTTCATGATACATAATATAGTAACACAGCAGAAAGAACCTTACTTTCAGACGGATTCTAACTTACCTGGATCTATGCCAATGTTAGCATGAAAGATCATATTCTGTGGCACATTGTTAAAGCTCCTGCATAGTGATACAGTGAATCTTTTTTGCATAACACCATAAATGGTGCATATTACTTTGTCATTTAATTATTTCATCTTATCTCACTGATACTTTATTATCAGGAAATGTTTAAGATTATATACATTTTAATTTACTGTTAACGTATTGAAAGAGATCATTCCAAAGATATTTATTTATTATTGCTTTGCTTATAACAGTTATCTTAATTTCTTTTTTCTTTTCCTAATCCAAATCTGCAGATTTTTTTGTTTTTCATGAGATCATATTACTTACCTCCTCTTACTACTCCATTAGTGCAAATGGCAGACATGGAGATACCTGTTAATGTTGTTACTACTACACTCAGACCAATAACTATGATTCCAAGACCTGAAAGATCCGAAAAAGAAAGTGTATTCAAGTATATTCAAATACCTGTTTTCCTTAAACGACGTAGTGAGAACTTGCCATTTCCCAGAGAGACTAGAGCAAACCAGTTATAATTTTAAGGGTCTGAAATGCACTAGAACTTTGTTTCATGAAATACCTGATGTGTACTTTCCCAGCAAAATTATTTACTCATCTTCCAAGGAGTGGCTGAAACGTAAGGAGTTTTATAAAGAAGGCATTAAATTGAAGTTATCCACTGATCTGCATCAGTCTTTAAAATGAGAGGAAGAGATGGCTCAGGCTCAGTTTGTCCAAGGATGTCCAACCTGAAATGTTCTGAATAAGAAAGACCTGCTGAAAGGTAAGAAAAGAACTTGAAAAGCCAGAAGCTGTCTCTTACTCAGCAGGAACATCTGAAACGTACTTCACAGACTGAACTGAAATCTGGGGTTATTAAAAGTGACAACTCAGACATGCTGTAATTTGTGATTAGGTGGCTAGGATTGTTACCTTCTGGTTCCTTTAGTTGTACCATTTGTTTTATCATCCTTCTGGTTTGCCTCATATGAAAATAATACATAAAGACCTTTTGGGGCTTGAAAGCATTAGTAACCCTAAGATGTTTACCTCCACGGATAAACCCATTAGTTGCTATTGCAGAAGTTGACAACCCAGTAATTGAGGTTACCATCGTAGCGAGAAGAATTATGATTACTCCAAGACCTGTCAGTAATAAGAAGATAAAATATTTTACTCATGTTCCATGATTCCTACAAATCACTCTCTTTAAATTGAATTTTCAGGCCAGAATTAGAGCAATAAACTGAAAAGATGGTTTGTTGACCACTTGCAGTTTCAGAACATTTCCAAGGAGTTCATGTCACAGTAGTAAATTATTCCCATCAGTGTTGAAGCGGTGATTCTTTCTGAGAGCCTAAGAGTCTCGTGATTTTTGGAGCTGGAGGAAATGACCAAACAAGTGTCCCTTGGCATGGATGCTTGTATCTCCCTTTAATATACTTCTGGGCTATTTAAGTGTAAGTATCTTTAAGTGTGTTTAAGTGTCTTTCATCAGTTAATTAGATATTGAATTAGAGAAAAACTGTATAGTTTCACAGTGCATGAGGACAAAGAGTCTATCAGATAGAGAGACTAGACCTGAGTGTGAGCCTTCTATATCCTTACATGCCAACCTATCAAGTGCTATGCTTCCTCACTCTCTCATCTCCCTCTTTCCTTGCAAAAAGTGATTTTACTCTTAACAGGAGATAAACATAAATGAAAATGCCAGTATTGCTTTAGCAGGTTACCTGTAATATATAAGCTTAGAGTCTTATTTTTATTTTTAGCTAATATCACAAAATTGTATCATTAAACAGAAATAACCAAACACCTGAAGATCAGTGACAGGTGATTAGTTATAGGTGAGCTGGGTTTCAGTCTGAGTAGTGTCTGAAATCTGAGTGTTTCCAGTCTTTAGCTATATAGTCAGGTTTCTGTTAACTTTATGAAACTATGCTAGACATGGGTGGAAGGTGCCTAGTATGATTTAGAATCATAGAAACGTTGGTTAGAACTGACTTCTGAAGGTCTGTAACAGCCTCTCAGTCATAGCAGAGCTGTAGCCAACACAGGGTTAAATCAGTGATGACTTTGGCTAGCTGGATCTTGAAAACCTCTGTGGACAAAGATCCCACAGCCTCTTTGGATTACTTACTCCAGGGCTATAATACCTGCCCAGTGAAAAATATTTCCGTGTGTACAAACTGGACATTGCAAGCTGCAATTGCAAACTACAGAGCCAAATACTTTCTTGTTTTAAGCCAGGTGAAGAAATAATACGACTTTTTCCTCTCAAGTTTATTGCTTCTATTCCCATTTCTATCTATGAGAGGAGAAGGGAAAAAAAAAATAAATTGAAACAGTTACAGTTTGATGTCAAATATGGAATTTGTTCTTAGTTTTATCTAAACTTATTAACACTTATGCAATAGCTGTCTTGTTTCCATAAGATACGTAGGTCTCCAGTGTGGAACTGAAGATCATGCACTGCTTGTAGCAATTTTTATTGACCAGAG